TGGAAAAAAGATTAAAACAAACACAAGACCTAGAAGCAATCAATTAAAAATTAAGCAGGATTTAAAACTTCAAGCCCTTGTGTATTCCAAGAAACCAAACACCAAACAAAGTCTACAGCTTGATAAGAGCAGAACTCACCAAAGATCTTATAACCTGTAGCTAGAGTATTTAAACCAGCCTTTCGAATTTCACCATCTCGTTCTGCTCTTAGGCTTGCAACAAGCTGCAAGGATTTCAACTGTCCCACAATCTGTAGGCAAATTATAGAAGACTCAGTACCTTTCAAAGAAGAAAAAAGATCTAATAGCATTCCCTATTTTACCTCTGCTCCATGGTTATCAATTAAGAATCCAACAAGATCCACACACTCTATCCGGGTTCGATTGTTTTTGGAACGTAAACCCTCCAAGACATAAGGAAAAGTTTTTGCTGCTAAAAATGCATGAATGATTTGTTTAATCAATTTCACATTTTTTCTCGTACTTACTCAATGTTATGTCCAGACTGCAGTAAACGAAGAAGGCAAAAATTCAAAAATATGTTTGAAAATCCTGATGTCATGATAACCAAACTAAGAAAATTCAAACACAAGTAATGGTGATAGTTAAAAATTAGCATTAAACAAATAAAAATGAAAGCATCTTAACCCGGGGAAAACTTTGGGCCAAGTTCTAACCTCCAAAAATAGCCTGGCAAATCCAAACCAAAAAAGAAAGAAAGAGGCAAACAGATCCATAACAATTTTTATGGGGCCTAACCCAAAAACAACATACTGATACTAAAGAAAAGGTCAATCTATGTTATAAACACTGCCATATCTCTCTCCCCAAAAAATATATATATAGAAAAAAAAATGGAAAGAAAGAAAGCAAGAAAACAGAACAGATTAGGTAGGCCATTCAGATATTTAGAGTAAATCCAAATCACCACAAATGTGTAACACAAAAAAGCACCTTATGCAGCATCTCAATTCCATCAATTTGCTTCTTGAAGATTGTGCTCAGAAGCCTCCTATGTAAATCCTCTCTGAAATACTTCATAAGGCCATTCTGTGGCATAGAAACAATCAAGGAACCAGCCAAATTTAGAGAGATCCAACAGCAAAGCAAGAAACCATCCGTTGAATGCTCAAAAGCACATACCTCAAGATCTTGTATTTGAGTGAGAGAAAGAGAGAGGAACTAACCTCCGATCGAAGAAGACGAAGAGTTCCAAATCCACTGAGATAAATCACGGAGCTATGCTCAAAATCAAACTTCGAAATTACAATCCGAGATGAATCACCAAGCTGAAGAAAAATTGAAGAAGAATCACTAAACTGAAGAAGAATCGAGAGAGATTTGAGTGAGAGAAAGAGAGAGGAACTAACCTCTGATTGAAGAAGACGAAGAGTTCCAAATCCACGGAGATGAATCACGGATCTATGCTCAAAATCAAACTTTGAAATCGCAATCTCGAGATGAATCACCGAACTGAAGAAGAATCGAAGAAGAATCACTGAACCGAAGAAAAATTGAGAAAGAGAGAGAGAGAGCAAGGAGTAAGTGAGTGAGAAGGAGACGACGGTGCTCAAAATAGGGTTTTCAAAATATAAGTTTAAAAAGATAGAAGAGGGTGTGAAGAGAGTCAGGGAAGAGGGTGTGAAGAGAGACAGGGTTTGGAGGCGCTTTTTAAACATCTTCTATTTACAAAACGGTACCGTTTTACCTAACAACAAAGGCGACATTTAAAAAATGCCGTTAATTATAAAAAAAAGTGACGTTTAATAAAACGTCGTTAATTAAACGCCGTTAAATCCTCATTTTCCTGTAGTGTCTATAAAAAAATAGTTTTCTTTTATTTATTTATTTTGTTTAAAAACACAATGGCATCATTTTTTTTAAAGAATACCTTGTGATCGAACAAGAAGTTCTGTGACTTGATATCCTCTGTGAACCACATCTTTCTCGTGACAATACACAACGTGTAAGCTTGTAATGTACTATAAATTTTCACACCAAGTCACAAGAAATTAAAATTTCTAAACCCAAAACCCAAAAAAAAGAAAAAATTTAAATAAGGAAAAGTAGGAAAACTACTTTAATTTGAAATTTTAATTCAGTAATGCTATACTCACTGAAGTTGGGTTCGTTTGAATTGCTCGAATTTGTGTATGTTAGTTGTTTGAGAGGTCACCGGCTGATCATTTAGGAGGATGCTAGTCATTCAACAGATGCCCGCTGACAAGTATGACAACCGCGATTGACAAGGGTTACAACCGCTTTTGACAAGAGTGATGCCGGTCATCCAAGTAGTTGTCCAGTCGGTCGTCCGGCTTACAAAATTCGAGCAAGCTCAAATTTAGTTATTTTTCTTTTTAGATTCCTAATAATATTACTTTAGAAGAATAAGGACAAACAATTTTCTAATAGTAGTTCAGGTCCTCCAACAAACATTATTAACCATTTTGGACAAAAATAACCCCAGTTAATTACATTTTCTATTGTTTAAGTGATTTTAAAATTTAAATTTTCTTTAACTTTTTATTTACATCTCAATTTTTTGTAAAATTTATATTTTAGAATTCTATTAATAAGATTTTTCAAACAGGATCTAGTAATATGAAATTTTGAAAAAAAAAATTATAAAATTATATTGTGTTCATTGTTACGTCAAAGTGAATTTTTTTGGACTTTGTACAATGTGAAATTTCACTCAAAGATAGAGAAAAACACAGTAGCAGAGAAAATTTTGTATTTCAATACAAAGAAAAACACCGAAATACAGAGAAAATTCAATTTTAACATAGAGAAAAACAGAAACAAATAAATTTTGTGTTTTAACATAAAGAAAAACACAGAGACACAGAGAAAATAAGAGAGAGAGAGGAGATTTAAAACTCCTACATCAAATTTGTGCACAAATCGACAACAATAAAATGAATAGACTGGAGAAAAAGTAAAACATGTTATATTTATGCATTAATCGGGATGAGAGACTGTCAACGATAGTGAACGATGGTGGTAGATGTGGTTAAAAGGGAGAAAAAGAATAAATGTCGGTGGATGTGAAGACGGCGTTGAAGATATAATAGAAGTGGTACCAGAGATAGATCGTGAAGAGAGAGAGAGAGTTGGTGAAAATTTAGAGAAAAAATTAAAATTTCTAGGATTAAAAGAGCATTTTGGTCATGTATGTCAAAATTTGTCCTTCTCCTTCTAAATTTTAAATCTTAGGGACCTTAGTTACCAACTTAATTCGCATTATCCTTAAACCCTTACACAAACATATATGGAGGACGTCTCCTAATTTTTCAAATTAAAAACTGTAGAGGCCGAATAAATTCAGTTAGGGAGGCCAAGGAATTTGATCAACGTTCGGCCAAAGTAATTCGGCCTTGACCAAGGGCTGATAAAGCCGAATAAACGAATTGGCAGTATAAAGAGCCAAACAGGAGCCAACACTTAACAAGAAGGCCGACTAGGTACCTACGTGCGAGATCAAGGGTGAGACTGACCCTCGAGCCCAGAGGTAATATAAAAATAGAGGAATGTCATCTAAAGCAGGTATGTGAGAAGAGAATAAGTAACTTGAAATAGAAGTAAACTAGAGAGAATTCTAACTTATCTGTCAAAGTGCTAATTCTGGCAACCCCGACCGAAGTGTTCATCCCTTTTTCAAATAACAATCAGAGGATCAAAGACGCCTGATTGGATTATGGAGTATTGCCAAACCACTTCTCCACATTGGTGTCATCTGTGGGAATATTTAAGTGCATCCATGGCGGGCATAACAAATGATCCTTTGGTAGTTGCTGATGACATTACGCCAAGAGATGACATTACTCCAAGAAACATGCTTGGACCGGAGAATATCATCGCGCGATGGGCCCTAAACTTCGACCCAGCAGCTCAGATTACACCCTCAACCTCTGTGCAAGAGACTATGCAGACAATCATGGATCAAGCAAAGAGAATGAATAGTGTTTAGAAGATATGATGGCTGAAAACGAGCATCTATGCTAGGAATTAGCCCTGGAGCTAGCCAAATCCCAGCAGGCCGCATGCCCTGATCGGGGTCGATCCCCAGGAAAGAAGGATGATCAACGACGTCGACCTTGGAAACACGATAATGGCAGTGATTTTGACTCACCGTCCTAGGAACCCAGAAAGAAGGGACGAGTTAATATATCCAGCTCATCTGAAGGAGGTCCGTACGTACGACACAGGCGAGGGAAAAGAAGTGATGATTCGGATGAAAAAGATAGGCATGACCCTTTCGTGCAACGCATTGCAAGGGCTGTGCTGCCCAAGAAGAGACTTTCTGTGAGTATTCGGCGTGCTATTGGGAATGTTTCAATCTAGTGGATGATGCCTACAATGACTCCATGGCCATTATCGCCTTTAAGATGGAATTATATCCTGACAGTCCTCTTCGTAGTTTGTTGACCAGACAACCCCCCAAAATAGTTTGGGTGCTAATGAAGAAAGTTGAAGAATATTGTAAGGTGGAAGACGATGCCCTGTGGGTCAAGACTGGACAGAAAGTTGTTGGGTCGGCTCCATCTGGTCCCGTTTAGTAGATAAGCGTCATGCCATCAAGGAGCTCCGAACCTCGGACTTGGGCTAAACGAGATAAAAGGCGTGATTCGCACCGTTCAAGTGATCAGTGTTCACATCGATCAAACGAACAATATCAAGTGGATAGCAGGCGCACAAGACGTTCAGACAAGAAGTATACGGAGTTGGCAGAGCCGATCAATAAGATCTTATCCAAAGTCAAACATCACCCATTCTTTAAATGGCTGTCCAAAATGATGAGTCCTCTTGATAGAAGGAGAAAGGATAAGCGGTGCGAATATCACAAGGACCATGACCACGATACCAACAGTTGTTATGCACTGAAGGATCACCTGGAAGAGTTGGTATAAGACGGCCGGCTGGCGTAATATGTTCAAAAGAACAATCCATCAAACACGGTAGCCCTACGGTCGGATTCACCACCATTTGGCATAATTCACATGATATACAGCCTACCTTCGTCAGTCGAGGTACATACAGTTCAGTTGCAACCTAGCCTATCCAAGCCGATCACACCAGCCAAACGGCTGCATGAAACTGGGATGATTAGCTTCGATGACGCCGACCTAGATGGAGTAACTCTCCCTCACGTTGATCCCCTCGTCGTGGAGCTACGCATGAACAAATTTACAGTTGAGCGTGTTCTCATCGATCAGGGAAGAACTTCGGAAATAATGTATTACAAGACGTTTGTTAAACTTGGCTTCTTTGATTTGGATTTGTTTCCGGACGATTACCCATTGTTCGACTTCAACGCCAACCCTGAGTATCCCTTGGGTAAGATCACACTACCAGTATGGGCGGGTACCAGATCAATAAATGTGGAATTTCTGGTCGTCAAACTCACGTCACTATATAATCTCATCATGGGAAGGACTTGGTTGCACACCATGTAGGCTGTGCCGAGCAGATACCATCAACTACTCTGTTTTCTGACTGAGTATGGCATCGAAGTAAACTCGAAGTAAACTAATTGGCACAGGCATGCTATCTTATTGTTGCTACAAGGAGGCCAAAGGAACTAGAAGTAAACTCGATTGAAGTACCAGACCAAAAGAGCCTCGAAGAAACTTAGAAAATCCCCAGCGAAAAAGCAACTGAAGACCTTGATCGGATTAAAATCAATGGGAGCCCCGACAAATTCTTCATGATCGGCACCTCCTTGGGCAAAGTTGATAGACGCGACCTGGTATCCGTCATACTCGGCAACCTTGATGTGTTTGCGTGGACATCGTATGAGATGCCGGGGATGGATCCAACCATGGCCCAACATCGTTTGAACGTTGATCCAAAAGTCAAACCAATAATTCAGAAAAGTCGGCGGTCAGCCGTGGGGCATGCATTCGCCGTTGTTGATGAAGTTGACAGATTGCTTGATACTGGGGCAATTCATGAAGTCACTTATCCCACATGGCTATCCAATACCGTGGTTGTAAAGAAGAAAAATGGGTCTTGGCGCGTGTGCGTCAATTTCACGGACTTGAATAGGGCTTGTCCAAAGGATTGTTTTCCTCTTCCCAAAATCGATTAACTTGTGGATGCAACGACATATCATCAGTGCATGAGCTTCTTGGATGCCTACAGGGGTTATCATCAAATTTCCATGCATCTGGAGGATCAAGAAAAGACCACAATCCTTACCCCAAGGGGAACCTATTGCTACAAGGTCATGCCCTTCGGACTGAAAAATGCGGGGGCAACTTACCAGAGACTAGTTACCACTATGTTCAAGGAACAACTCGTCCAAACCATTGAAGCATACATTGATGACATGGTGGTGAAGCCTAAGGAAAAGAACGCCCATCTAGCCAACTCTTGGCAACTCCATCGGTAGGCGATCCGCTCATACTGTATCTGGCGGTATCTGACCGAGCTGTCAGCATCGTGCTGCTAAAAAAAGAACTCGGGGAACAGTGACCAATCTATTATGTAAGCAAGGCCATGGTCGACGCCGAAACACGATATCTACCACTGGAAAAGCTCCTTCTTGCTCTCGTGGTGGTTGCAAGAAAATTGATGAATTACTTTTAGGCTGACACCATAGGGGTATTAACGGACTATCCTCTTCGGTCAGCGCTCTAGAGCACGGAAGCATCAATGTGAGTCTTGAAATGGGCTTTGGAACTTGGCCAATATGATATCTAGTTTTTGCCTAGAAATTCCATAAAGGGGCAAGTAATCGCCGACTTTGTAGTCGAGTTCACGGGATGCCATGCTGACCTCAAGTCCGATCAAGTGCAACCTAAACCCAACTAGTGGATGTATGTTGGAGACATTTGGCAGATGTACTGTGACAGATCATCTAACCAACGTGACAGCAAGGCAGGCATAGTGATCATGACTCCTGAAGGGGCAATAATCAAGAAGGCGGTAATACTGGGCTTTGATGCATCAAATAATTAGGCCAAATACGAAACATTGCTAACCGGCCTTCGTAATGCACTTCACCTTGGTGCATGGCGGTTGCTTGTTTTCTGTGACTCAAAATTAGTCATCAACCAGTTAAAAGGGGAATATGCATCTAGGAATGACCATATGGTCGCCTAGATGAAAATGGCAAATTCTTTGCTCACAAGATTTGACCACCATGAGTTGAATCAGATAACCCAGGATCAAAACATGCATGCAGATGCCCTTGCCTACCTAGCCTTCGTCATTAAATCAGAAGTTAAACGAACAATTGAGATAGGGTTCATCCCAGAGCCGAGCATCACCTCTTCAAAACTAGCGCAAATTAACATCATTGAACTAGGACCAAGTTGGATGGATCCCATCATTGCATTTCTTTCCTCAGAACAGCTTCTAACGAACAAGAAGGAAACCCACAAGCTGAGAAATAAAGCCCTGCGATAATATCTGGATCCTCAGGGAAAACTTTACGAAAGCTTTACAAAAAATCTTTCTGGGCCGTACCTGGAATGTGTCCACCCAGATAAAGTTGAGGAACTCTTAGCAGAAATTCATGAAGGAAGTTGCGGTGCCCATTCTGGAGGGCACTTATTGGCCCACCGAGCCGTAACACAGGGGTACTATTAGCCGACCAAGCAAATAGATGCCGAAAACTACGTGAAGAAGTGTGAACAATGCCAAAAGTTTTCCCTTTTAATTCATCTGCCAGCCGAAGAATTAAACTCAATTACAAGTCCTTGGCCGTTCGCCCAATGGGGGCTCGATATTGTTGGACCATTATCGCGGGATCCAAGGAACAAGTGATTCCCAATCGTCGCAACGGATTATTTTACAAAGTGGGCCGAAGCAAAGACATTAACACATATTTGAGATGTCGATGTTAGATGTTTTGTATAGAAAAACATCATAACTTGATTCGGTATACCGAGAGCACTTGTTTCCAATAACCGCACCCAATTCGATTGCAGCGTCTATCGGGAATTATGCAACACATATGGTATCCGGCCCTACTTCTCCTCCCCGGCATAGCCGCAAAGCAACGGTCAGGTTGAGCGTCCAATAAGGTGATCCTGGACGGCATCAAGAAACAATTGGAAAAAGCCAAAGCCAGGTTGGTTGAAGAGTTGTCGAGTGTATTGTGGGCTCATCGCACTACTCCAAGGCGATCCACTAGGGAAACACCGTTCGCTTTGTGCTTTGGGACACAAGTAATCACCCCTCTTGAAATCGGCCTGCCCACACTGAAATCCATGGTTTTTGACATGGGCCGTAATGACATGATGTTGGCCTTAGATTTGACTTTGATTAAAGAATAGTGCCGAGATCGTGCTCTTGCGTGCATGGCACGGTTCCAGCATCAGCTCACCAAGTCATATAACCTATGCGTATACTTGTGTTGTTATACACCTGGAGAATTGGTCCTCAAGAAAGTGCTTTCTTCTACTAAGAATTCGGCTGACGGTAAATTAGGCCCCAACTGGGACGACCCTTATCAGATTAATTCAATTGCTGGAACAGGGGCATATCGGCTTTCAGACATGGCTGGCAGAAGTTTACCACGACCTTGGAATTCCACACATTTGTGTAAATTTTATCATTAAGCCAACCTGTATGGCGTGTTAGTTTGTTTCTAATTTTCGCTATTATGCTAACATGTAGCCATCTACGAATTCTGTAATGCATTTCCCTATTTTATTGCTGTCTCGTTAATAATGGTTGAATGATGAAAAAGCCTCTGAATTCGGAGCACCCTTCGTAGATATCACGTTCGGAGCGCCATTCGTGGATGTCACGATTGGCCAACAAAAAGCCTTCAAATTCGGAGCGCCTTTCGTGGATATCACGTTTGGGCCGAGTAAGCCTCCGAATTCAGAGCGCCCTTCGTGGATGTCACATTTGGCCAACAAAAAGACTCCAAATTTAGAGCGTCCTTTGTGGATATCACGTTTGGGCCGAGTAAGCCTCCGAATTCGGAGCGCCCTTCGTGGATGTCACGATTGTGATAACCCTGTCCCATGTTATGTTAATTAATCTTAATTATGATTGTGATTATGTGCTTGATATGATTTTGAGTGCCATTTATATGATTATATGTGTTTTTGAATTTCTATCTATTCACCGAGGAAAATTTGGTTGATTTTCTGCTATAAAATTTAATTAAACGCGGTAGAGGCGACTGAAACTGAAATTAATTGTATTTTTGCGATTAGCATGATTTTTAGAGCCTACGGTGAAATTTGATTAAAAATTGATTCGGATCAAAATAATTAGATTAAACTGAATGAATTAGGCACAATTAATTAACTTTAATCAAGTTTAATTAGGAAAGCCTATAAATAGGCCTATATATACTTGAGTTTACTTCTTGAGCTCATTTTCTTCTAACTTGGCTGAGATACACTGTAGAAAAAGAGAGGGGGACGGTTCTAGAGAGAGAAGAAGGCTGAAATTGTAGATTTTGGCTTAAGGCTTGGGAATTTGGAAGCTAGACTCAATAAATTAGCTAAATTTGGAAGGGTTAGAGCTTCTAGGTGGGTAACTAACCCTTAATTCATGAATTTGAGTTTGTAATTATATGAATTCAAAGAGAATTAGTAATCAAGAGCAAGGTTTAAGTTGTATATGATGAATTTGAAGTCAATATACACATGCATGTGAAAACTATCATGATATGAAACTCAATTCCAAGGATTCATGTTTTATTTAGAAGATGATTGTTGGAACATGAAGAATATGACATCAAATGCCACATGCATGCATAATTTTCACGAGCTTCATGATTATAAACATCATTGAACCATTTGAAATAGAATTGGAGTCAAAATTTAACATGCATGCATGATTCATGAAGATATGAAGTTTGTATGAAGTTTGAATGCTTGAGTTTTGAAATTGATAAAGAGAATTTGGAATGATTTTGGAAATGAACCATGATTTTGGACAATTAGTTTCAAAATTAGAAGTGTTTCTATGTCATATAATGTTTTCCATGTTTTTGTACCTAAAATGTGAGTTTTGAGCCTTTGGGATCAAGTTTGAGCTTCAAACGCAGTTCTGGAAATTCCACAACTCGTCATGTCCGCTCGAGCGGGTAAAGTGCCGCTCGAGCGTAAAATACTAGCTTCCAGAAGTTTTGCAGACATTAATCTCTGCTTGAGCGAGAATAATCATGCTCAAACACCCACTCACATGATTTGACCCTTGGCTTGAGTGACTAAAGTCATGCCCGAGCACAAAATTGAGGTAACTAGTACTTTTGCAGACCAAAGGGATTCGCTCGAGCGGAGAGCCCTGTTTCAGAAATTTTGAAAAGTCGTTTTGAGTTTTGTTTTCCATTCTCTTTCATTTCTAAGCACTCTTAGGCATGTATTGGGCATTGTAAATGACTTAAAAGGATAAGAAAGAGGCCAAAGAGAAATAATTAAATTAAGAACGAATTGAATTGCTTGTAACCTAATATGTTATGAAATGTGTAGGGTCAAGCGCA